TAATTTTTGCACAGACATATTGCTCAGTTCATTTTCCTTTCGGATGTAGCCACCAGATTGATATAAAGTGTTTTTCAATACGAGTCCCATGTCTTTATATTTTGAATTAGTCCCTCAATTCATTGAAATTGCTACTAGGTGCTTTAATTCTCAAGTTAATTTGATTAAATTACTAAAATTGTTAGTAGATCCCCAAATACTTAAGCTATTTTGAAATTAGTTCCTCTAAATAGGAGTAGACATATCAATTTTGAGCGATTATTTTAGAAAAAAAATATGAGATTGGGGGACCTGATAGTCCATAACCAAAGATTTTGCTAGGTAATCTCTCAATTGCTACTTCTACTTTTGTCTAGAGTGACTAATTTCAAATATAATTTAAGAATTAGAGGACCTAATAGCAATGTCAATGATTTGAGGGAGTAATTTTAAATATACTTTAGAATTGAAGGACGTGACATCGGTTTCAATAATTTGAGTGACTAATTTCTAAGCATGAAAGATTTAAGGGACTAATACTAAAAACCCAATTTAAAAAAAAAGGAGCACCCTATTGAGTTTTGCAGCAATAATTGAGGGGGTTGGGGCGGGGGAAGAGGGAGGGGGGCGTGGGCACGTGGCCCCTCAACCCCACCTGGGTCCGCCTATGTTCATGTATACTAAAGTTGGAGTATTGACGTAGATTGGATGAGAGGAAATAGATACATACACATCATATGTGAGGGGAACACTGACCAGAAGTATGTGGATCATGCGATATAAGAACTACTTAAATCAAATAGAAATTTGCAAATCATAGGTCATCACTATATTCTACATATAGAAGTATACGATAAAGGCACATCAGAATGTATAAATCTAAGATCAAAATATTTTACATGTACAATTGACATGGACGTTTGTATATTTGTATCTATATCCGATAAAAATAACACAGTTAGCAGTCGTCATCTTACTTGAAGGTCATGGGTTCAAGTCGTGGAAACAACCTCTTGTGAAAACGCAAGGTAAGATTGCGATGATAGATCTAAAGTGGTCCGGCTCTTTCTCAGACCCCACACATGGTGGGAATTTCATACATCGATCGACCTTCCTTTATCCAATAAAAAAAATATAAAAAGCCCAAAAAGTAAGGTTACTCGTAAAAAAAGAATTGCCAAGAGCTGAACTAATTCCAAAATAAATCAGGCTTTATCTACATGCAAGTGGCGATGTCAAGCTAACACCTTGAAAGAGAGATGCGTATATAATAAGCAAGTTCACCTCCTCTCAAACCAAATGCCAAAACAGCCAGCATCATACCGCATTAATTATAGTCTGTTGTGAACTTAGTTCGCAAATATCATCTCGTTCTCCTTCACACCGCTTTTGCTTGTGAAGATGATCTCTGAAACTGTCCAAAATGCCTCACGTGATCTCCATTCTCCACGTTCCCCGGCTTCCATCCTCCTTGTCTAGCTTCTGTATCTCTTTTCAAACTCTCCGACACTGTTTTATGAGTTGCTCATGCTACAGAAAATGTTATAGTATAAGATCATAATCCTCTACCCTCACCTATTTGGAGTTTTGGTCCAGTGCCAAGAACGTTGTGCAAGCCAGGTTCAAAACTTACTTGTCATGCATGAATTTATAAAGCAGATTAAAGAGGTAACAACTCATGGAGTCCAGGTTTTCAATTCATGAAAGGGCCCTCAAACTGCAGGAAACATGTTAGGGTATAAATTATTGTAACTTGGAAGAAGTATTACTCAATCTAATACAAATTATAAACCCCTTGAGATCTCCCAAAGGTGAAAGACACTGGCACAATATAAGGAATTAAAAATAAAAAACAACTCTTGGACCTTCTTCCCTCGCTAAAATTCGATGAGAAGATCTTGTCATGCATCTATATCAATAATCTGGAAGAAGACCATTAGATTTTGTTTGAGGCTTGCATATATCAATCAGTCATTTTTTTATTGTGAAAATATACATTTTTGTTGGCAATTTTATCAGGAAGAGATCGACAAAGATTTATATGAGGGTCTCTTTAATCTTCTCTAATGGCTTATTGTCTTTCAGAGATGTGCAGAGTCGCAACATCCCTGCATAGAATAATAGAGGTTAGAGGACCTAGAGGTAGTTTCCTCCTGCGTGCCCTCCAATGCTCAAGTTGGTGACTAGTCTAATAATCTAAAGAGAAAAGTAGAATGTAGTCTTTAGGGTTTTTTGTGCGTACATTGGAATAATAAAGATGATGTTATTTATAGGAAGTTTGTGAGGGTATTTAGGTAATTTGACTAACTAGTTGATCTGATGTTGTGTCGTCACTTTACACATGTTCGCAGCCGATTGGCTAGAGGTGAAAAGCGGTACCATCTCATTAAATGTGATGGTGACAAAATGACAAAGCTACAAGAGTCCTTCACAGAGTCATTATGATGCTAGCCATAACATTAAATACAATGGCGACTAGGTGGTGGAGTTTAGGCGTTGAACTGTTTTGCATTAAATGTAAAAACTGTTGACAAGGCCACTTGTCATTCCTTATCCTGGGCTTCTCCTCTATTGAACCTGACTTGAAAGCCCCTTTCGCCTCGGCCTGAACTTAATCACGGATCTCAGCTTGAGGACACCTTTCGTCTTGGACCCAGGTCATATAGATGAGTCAGGTAGCTCGCAGCTTAGACTTGGGTCGGGTATGTCAATCATGCGTTTTGCCCACTAAGTTCGCCAAGTGGTTAGTTTAAGGACATTGTAATTTTTGAGGTACAACAGAACTTAACCAAGGAAATCTAATACACATTAAAGAAAAATAAAAGAAGGAAAACAAAAGCCAATACAATGTGAGAGAATAAATATTACACCAAGAGAATCAACACTTTTAATCAGTCCTAGTTTAAAATATAGTCAGCATACTAGTTTCTACATATAGAATTGAAGAGCCAAAAGGAAGTTATTTGTGCCACAAATCCAAGGCCAATTTTGACGTTGAAGGTTGGTATATACACTGTATTTTGGCTAAACGACATTGTAGCTTGGAGCTATTTGAAGATGAATACCTCATACCAGCTTATTTTATCAGATTTAGCATATTGCATCCCATCCCATCCGGAAAGGTTTTTATTTTTGTACCTTTGCAGATTCTCGCATGTTTGTTTCTTGAATCCTCCCTGTCCAATGGTCCACAGCAATGGCATAAAGAAGGCAATGGCTTTTACGCAAATTACCCAAAACAGTACTGTAGGCCCCTAGAAAAATGCATTTTTGCACACATATATATACCCCACCTATGGTTGATATTTTCTTTCATTTCGTAGAATCTTGTAAATTGAATTCAGCCTCAAAATAACTTGATATATATGCACCACAATGTCTGCTGTCTCCATAAGGCCATGACGTCTTTAGCATCTGAACTTAGCGGACTGCTGAGTAAATTTTACACTCCCGGTGAAGTCAGAAGTTATAATATCTTTGTTTTTCGTATGAGAAATTAAAGAGGGTCTCATCTTCGCAAGTGCACCTGCAAACCATGACTCATAGAATTTGAATGTTGTTGGAATGGAGACAAAGCTTGGATTTAAGTTATCGATCGCCAAGCCATCTCATTGAGAACACGACAGACTGGGTTCGTGTGTGAGTTATTGGCAAAAACTCGATATCTAGACATCTAGTTTTACTTACATGACATACTTACCTATATATTTATTAAATTTACCTAAATATGACCAATATCTAGTTTAGAGTCTTTGACATGGGACACTATCCCAATGGACTGGACATTCACTTAATACTAGCCCTGCTCATGAGAATACATCCAGAACTCTTCACTAACATACATTAGAGCCATAATATGACTCCCCTTGCTTGGATATACAATGTAATGCCTCTTGAATTCTACAACTGGAATCCTATTAGCCGGAAGTGGAATAGATAAAGATATGGGGCGTTTTATAATTTCCGTATGTTTTTTGGCATAGAGTTATGTTACATGAGATAAAATAACTATATATTTACCATGAAAATTTGGGTTAAATACTGCACCGGATTTAGGTTCAACTACAGAATGTTGTTCTTCCTTTGTTTGTGGACATAGGTTAAATTCTAAACTAATCTCCATGTCGTCTTCTTGTCTTTCCCCACCAATTCTTCAACAATGCATTGATGGATTAGAGTACTTTTCTCGAATTTGTTGTAGCACAACTGTTTAAATCTAGATCTGAAACATTCGACATGTTAACACAAATATGTGTTATCTGACTGGTTGTTGACATATTTAGATTTCGGTAGCAGCATTTTGCAGGTGTTTGATTTTCACTAAAGAAGCATGGAAGCAAATGGTGATGTCAGTGCCTAACATATGTTGCAGACTAATTTGATGTCCATGTAAGAGAACAAACAAAAATCAGCGTCTAATACGATCAAAGATGAATTCAGCAAAAGTTAATGCTTTCACGTGTGTATTGTGTTTGTTGAAGTGATACTTACAGGGGGCATAATGATAAATTCACCGAGGATACTGTCATATTCTCCTCTTCTCACTCTCTTGTTTCCTTGAGAATTAAATTGTCAATTTTCAAAACAGACCGGATTTGAAATTTATTCCCAAAAAAAGACTTGTTTCTAACTTAATTTCAAAAACCAACCTAGTTGACTGAAACTGAGTCGTTTTTTGAAAAAAAAAAAAGTTCACAAAGAAGTTTTTTCTCATAACAAAACTTCACGGAAGTTGAACTCCCGTGAAGTTTGTGAATTTTTTTTAAAACTGACCTCGTTTCAGTCAACTGGGTTGGTTTTTAAAATTAAGTTGGAAACAAGTCTGTTTTTTAGAATAAATTTCAAAACAGGTCTGTTTTGAAATTTTGTCCTTAATTTTTCTTTTCAAAATGGGGAAGAGAAAGAAAGAGAGAGGTCATCATGGACGGTTATAAACTCAAACTTGTGTAATTTAGTAGCCGTTGAAAAAATTGGATAAGACTAAAACTCTCTCTCTCTCTCTCTCTCTTTCTCTCTCCTCCCTTTATATTCCAAAAACACACGCAGAGCAAAGGGGAACAGAGGTTTCTGTTTTCTTCCCAAAGTGGGTACCTACTCATCTTTGTTTGTTGGCTCTCCATTATTTCTCGGGTTTTCTTCAAAGAGCATAATTAATTTCTCTTTCTCTTGGTCCTTTGCTCTCATATCTGTTCTCCTTCTACTTCCTGAACTCAATCAGAGGCAAGTATGGAGCATGTTCTGCATTTCGTTTTCGGCATTTTCGGTATGTGATTTATTATAATTTTTCTCCTCCTATTTTCTTCATTGTGTTTGTTTGATTTTGCTAGAAGCTGATGATGATAATATGGATGTTGGTTCTTTGTAAATGAAATCTGTTGACAGGGAATGCTACTGCTCTCTTCCTCTTCTTGTCACCCATGTGAGTCTGTACACATGTCTTAAGCCAGTTCGTTCTTTTCTAATTCCTTTTGTTTTGTGAAAATTTAAATGTAGAGATAAAAATAAATTAATCATCAATTAAAGATCACGGGTTGGTGGCACAGTCGGCTGGCGCGTAGGTCTCATTACTAATATGAGTCATCCTGCGGTCGAGAGTTCGAGCCTTTCTTTACCCAAGCGTGACTTTTTCTCTCAATTGTGTTCATTGTTTAAATCCTTTTTTATCCACTCTCTGATTGTAAAGCAAAATTTATTTGTTCGTATTAGTTTTTTGAAGATCTAAAAATTTTATTGACTCTCTCTCTCTCTCTCTCATATTCTCTTTATGGAAATCTTTTTCCACTCTTTCACTTCAAACAGTTTTCCATTCACTTCGACATTGAATAAACTAAAAACTGTTTTGAAAAAGCAAAATGAGTTTTTATTTTTCAAATTCTAAATTCTTTCTAATTTGTGGTCTAATTTCTCACTTTATCTGTCAAAATAATTATAATTTCGGAGAAAAATTAAATTTTTTATTATTTTATTCCCCTGCTGATTGCGTCTCTATATCTCCCCTCACACAATAATTTCCTTCATCTCAATATTGATTTTCTGAAAATAAAAATATATGTATTTTTTGGGAAAGAAAAATATTTCCTGTAGCCTAAACTGAAAACTCTTTGAATTTGTTGGTCTACTACCTAACTTTATTCGTGCCAACCGAAAATTTTGAAATTAAGGTTTTATTGCTTTCTTCTGTTGTATCTAACTTTTATGTCAAAATAATTAAAATTTTCGATAAAGTTTATTCAAAAAAATTCTGGTTTTCCACTCTTTTATTCCGCTGCTGAGCGTAACGTGTATTTTGCAATCTTGCCTTTTTTTCCATTATATATGGAGAAATTGAGGACAATTTGCAAAAATGGTCCTCCTTTCAGAGAAATAATTAGATGTTGGTAGATACTCCCTCAAATGTATATGTGACACCGATTTATTTTCCTTGAGAAGAATTCCTTTGGTATTATCATGATTAATATTCCAATGTTATCCCACAGAAAACATCATTTTTTTGTTATTCTAATGGTTATATATTCCAATTTATCTTTCCAGATTAACTTTTCGGAGGATTATAAAGAACAGATCCACTGAAGAATTTTCAGGGGTCCCCTACAACATGACCATGCTCAACTGTCTCCTCTCTGCTTGGTAAAGGCTTTTGGCTTCCAGCTATTGATCAACTACCTTGTTCTCTGATATAATCCCACGTCTACATTTTATTACACCAGTATTTATTTTCTTTAGCACATCATAGTTTCTTTGCATTTCTTTTCTCTCTCTAAACTATAACCGCACGCCAATAAATTGAAGGGCTATTTACAGAGAACCCCCCATGAACTTTTGGGGGTTGCAGTAACCTCATAAACTGTTTTATTACCCTAAACCCCTTGAAATTTAGGAGTTACTGCATGTAACCCCAATAAACTGTTTTACTTAACTAAATCTTCCCGGAGAATTTATCTTTTAATCCTCATATTAGCACCATTAACTCTTACTTATTACTAGTAGTAAGCACATGATAAAAGAAGAAGAACTAAAAAAAATTAGTGAAATAAAACGGTTCATGGGAGTTATGCGCGGCAAGCCGGCAACTCCTAAAATTCAGGGGGGTTTAGTGTATTAAAAAAAAGTTGAGGGGGGTTCACCGCAACTCCCCAAAATTTTATGGGGTTTCCTATAATTAACTCTAAATAATTGAAATTTGATATTAATTAATACGCACTTGCGATAAAAACCGATAATACGGGGAAGAAATTATAATACGTAAGCGAGAATTGCTTCAACGTACCGACTGTTCAGAGAAGGTAAAAACCGAATGTTTTTCATGAGACTGGGTATAATGATCGAGCTAGCCTAATTGTGAGTATTTGATATTTTTTTAAGGTACGGGCTTCCATTTGTTTCGCCAAATAACCTCCTAGTATCGACAATCAACGGCACCGGTGCCCTGATTGAGGCGACGTATGTGCTGATATTTCTGATTTTTGCGCCGAAGAAAGTGAGGGCAAAAATGATGGGACTCCTCGCTCTGGTGATCTCTGTGTTCGCTTCAGTAGCACTTATATCAGTGTTTGCTCTTCATGGCCAAACAAGGAAGCTCTTCTGTGGATTTGCAGCTACAATCTTCTCTATTTGCATGTATGCGTCTCCATTATCTATCATGGTAAGGAGCTCTTCCCTTCACTATTAATTAACATGGACATAAGCTTCAGTTTGGTTCCGTACTGTGATCCACCATTTAATTCATTAGTAACAATACACAGTACAAATTGGAGTAATTTGATTAATTTGGTAGAGAGGGGTGCCTTCGGGAACACCGACACAGGTGGTGCATGGCTGTCCTCAGCTGGCGCCGTAGTTCTTAATTAATTCAACTTCTTTAGAAAACAAAGTTCTTATCAATGGTTCCAGTGTTCTCATCAAAAAGTACAGTATCGAAAAGAGTGATTGAGAGCTCCATAGAAGCCATGTTTATTTATGAATCATAAATGGTGTTTGCACCGGATTAATTTAGGCTAAATGGCACTTAAATACCTTACAGTTTCACACTATTAGCACTTATATACCCTAAGTTGTATTTCGTAGTATTTATATACCCTGAGTTGGTCAAAATTAGCATATTGATGCCCTACGTTTTGTAAACATGACAATTTTTATCCAAAAGTTCCCATATAATATTTATATGCTATTCTTATAGTTATTTCTCTATTAATTTTGTTGAATTCATTATTAAATCTTTTAAAATTCTATTTTTGAAATAGAATTATGATGCATTTAAAATTAGAATTTTTTTTGATGAAAAAACAATGGTTAATCCCTGTTAATTAAAAAAAGTATCAAAGTATCATGTAATTACAAAATCAAGGACAGGAACTATGTCCCAATGTTGAAGGATAGAATATAGAATTTCTACTAATAGTGATGTATAACCTTCTTCTTACAAAGATTCATGAAGATGAAGAGAGGGCATTGTCGTCATTCATCGTTGACATAGATTTAAGTAAGAACCAAAGCCAGCTATACATATACTTAGCAGAAATTAAACTTTCTATAGTCAACAAAGAAAGATACGAAAGTGTTGAATATTGAAAGATATACAAAAACAGTCCAAAAGCATAACTGAAAGAGATTGCAACATTGTCTTCAAACACTTGCTCTTGATATTGGATGATCATTCAACCTCGTAGATAAGTGTCTTGCAGCCAGTCCTCTTTTCCAGCACCTGACCAATCATACAACCCAGATATAATCTGATTAATAATCGCCTTATAAGCCACCTTCGGTCAAATCTGACCAAGTCGAAAGACTTTCGGGCTCAATATACGAACCAGAGCTTCACTTCCTTGCATCACCGTTTACCCTTCCCTGTCACCACCTTTACACTTCTTGAGGATGAAGTTTATCGAGTGTTGAAGCAAGAATTTCAGTCTGATCAGGTGAAATCGCCGGTATTATTTCTCTATTAATTTTGTTGAATTCATTATTAAATCTTTTAAAATTCTATTTTTGAAATAGAATTATGATGCATTTAAAATTAGAATTTTTTTTGATGAAAAAACAATGGTTAATCCCTGTTAATTAAAAAAAGTATCAAAGTATCATGTAATTACAAAATCAAGGACAGGAACTATGTCCCAATGTTGAAGGATAGAATATAGAATTTCTACTAATAGTGATGTATAACCTTCTTCTTACAAAGATTCATGAAGATGAAGAGAGGGCATTGTCGTCATTCATCGTTGACATAGATTTAAGTAAGAACCAAAGCCAGCTATACATATACTTAGCAGAAATTAAACTTTCTATAGTCAACAAAGAAAGATACGAAAGTGTTGAATATTGAAAGATATACAAAAACAGTCCAAAAGCATAACTGAAAGAGATTGCAACATTGTCTTCAAACACTTGCTCTTGATATTGGATGATCATTCAACCTCGTAGATAAGTGTCTTGCAGCCAGTCCTCTTTTCCAGCACCTGACCAATCATACAACCCAGATATAATCTGATTAATAATCGCCTTATAAGAGAAGTTAATATGTTCAAACAAAACTTTGTTTCTAGTGATCCATAAAAAGCATGCCAAACATATCATCTACTTCCACATAACTTCTCAACAGATTGTAGCAAATCTTCAAAAGATGTTGGCCATGGAAATGGGAGATAGTATTCTTTTAAGTGATTCTATACAAGATTAGAGATAGAACAAGAGAAAAACAGATGGGCTCTAGTATAATAAATATTAGAATTTGGGTTGGTTTAATAGTAATTTAATAAATATTGGTGGTTAGAAAACTCCAAAATTAACAAATGAATGTTATATGGGAATTTTTGAATAAAAATTTTCACGTTTGCAAAAAATATGTTATTAAATTGCCAATTTTGACCAACTAAGGGTATATAAATGCTACAAACTATAATTGAGGGTATATAAGTGCTAAAGGAGTAAAACTATAAGGTATTTAAGTGCTGTGTAACTTCTTTAGGAAACAAAGTTATTATCAATGATTCCGGTGTTCTCATCAATAAGTTCAATATCGAAAAGAGTGATTGAGAGCTCCACAGAAGCCAGGTTTATTTATGAATCATAAATGGTGTTTGCACTGGATTAATTTATCTAAACCCAGTTTAAGACTCATCTAGCCCTTAGAGTAATGGTGCGTTTGAAAACATTGTTCAAAGAGAGGAGGGGAAGGATTGGGAAGGTTAAGATGTTAACCCTCCAAAAGTTGTGTTTATTTTGAAATTTTAAAAACAAGCAAATTCATTCACTTTCCTAAACCTCCTAGAGTGGACGGATTAGGAGAAGAGGGATAAAGTTTAAATGGAAATTTTTCACTACTCCAAAATTGTCCTTAAAGTAAAAAAAAAAGAACATTTACATGTACATTTTCTTCAAAAGGGTATATTAGTCATGAGGGTTTAATTAAGAGGGTGTTAGTCAACTGGAATATTTTTTATAGACGTGGAACAATTTTTAGTATAAGATAATTTTTTGAAGTGGGATATTTTAGTTGGGATAATCGAGAGTAATTTTTTAAAACGAGATATATATTGGGACAATTATTAGTATAATTAAGGATAATTTTCAATAATCAATAAGCATATAAGTCATGCATTTTGATGATACGACTACTATTTATATATTTTAAAACTTGCTATTAATAATAATTATTATTTATTTTAGTGTTAATTAATCTTGAAGAACTATTGGATAGACTATAAGATACTATTATTATAATAATTTCTAACTTTTTTTATTTTTTGGAATCATTATTGTGATACAAATTAAAAACAAAGTTTTTTTCTTTTTTTCCTTTCTTTTTTGACATGCTAGACATCATTCTGTTATCTCTTAATTTTAAGTAATTTTTAACAAAAGATGAATGTTGTAATTTTTAAATTTAAATAATTATACCATTCTGATATTTAATAAAAAATACAAAAATGTTAAATAGAAAGGTAAGAAGAGATGTGATCTAATATTGTCGTGTAGTTTGAAGATGATGGAGAAATAAAATATGAAAAATAAAAAAGCAAATAAGAAAGTTCTAGTTTTTTACCATCTACTTCTAGGTTAAAACTTAGGACAATTTGGGAGCCTAGAACACTCTCTTTTCTATATGAACTTGACAAAAGTTGGATAACTTTTTACTATTATCCTAATTAATCTACTTTTTATCCAGTTTTAATTGACTAACACTGTATAATTTTATCCTAGTACTAGTTCTACTTGACTAATGCTATAAAAATGTATTCTAAAAGTTATCCTAGTTCTAATTTTGAGTTCTACTTGACTAAGCCTCCTAGACAAACACAAATTNACACCATTTTTTCTATTTTGTTCCGTCCCGTATCATCCCCTTCCCTTGGGTTTAGTTGAACCATTCCTCTCCCCTGCCATTATTTGTATCCAAACCGCTGTCAGTTTCTCCTTAAAAAATCTTTTACATATTTGGATTTGTTAAATAAAAATGTGAAGTATTTTTCTGATTGTTGCCTATGAATCTACTATTAATACCCCCCACTTAGGGTAAAGTGCAGATAACCACACACATATTCAGCAGTACTTAACACCTTTCAGCACCTTTTTCTTCAGGAAAGAGAAGGACCAGTCCTCCACTCCAATCTAAAATATTTAGCATTTTCAATTATTTGAGTTACAGATTTATGTATTCCTTCTAATGAAAAATACAGTAATTTGCCTTCCTAAAATTTTAAACTTATACTTCTTTTCCACTATTTACAGAGGCTGGTAGTCCAAACAAAAAGTGTGGAATACATGCCATTCCTTCTTTCCTTATTTGTATTCCTGTGCGGAACTTCATGGTTCATCTATGGACTTCTTGGACACGATCCATTCATCTCGGTAACTTATTTGATCTTTCTTGTTTACAAATTTGGGTTATTTGCAGATAGACCTCGATCTGTAGTATGTAATTACTACCTAGCTCTCTAGTTTTATTGTTACATATAGACCCCACGAAGTGAAATTTTTTGGCTTCTTTATCCTCAGGTGGTCTACTTGTCAAAAACAATGTTCTTCCTCTTTGAGGGTAAATTAGTAATAAAAAAGGGAAAATTGCTTACCTCCCCCAATTTTTTTACAAGTGTTCCACCCACCCCCAAGACTTTTTCAACGCTCCCAAAACCCCAAAAGTAAACTCATTATTCTCCGAGCCTCAAAAACACAAAACCCAAAAGTGAAGACCATAATACCCTTTCTCACTCTCTCCCTCTCCCAGTTTCTCTCCCTTGGCTTTCTCTCTCATCAAATCAAGTGAGATTTTAGCTAGGTAATCTTGCAGGGATCAGAAGCCCCCGTCTGCTTCAACCTCGCCCAACAGCAGCTCAACAAGCAGCACGAGCTCCAACAATGGAGCTCAACCATTAGCATCCCTCCCTACTCTAACTCCCAAAATCAAACTCTAACCCAAACCCTAATCCATACCAAACGACCTTCATCCAAGCCGACACGCAATCCTTCAAACAAGTCGTCCAAATGCTCACAGGTGTTAGACCATAGAGGGGGGGTGATTAGGGTCTTATGCTAATCTAATCCGATTTTATGTCAATTAAAATTAATTAACAAGTTATCCTAGCAAGTATAACATACAACAAGATATATGAGCTAAGATAAGCAATATGAACAATGAGATATATCCTATATGATAAAAATATATGCAATGATATATAAACTAACATATATGATAAAAATATATGCAATGATATATAAACTAACACAAGGGTGAAATAAACATAAACAAGATAATGGATGAAATAAATGAGCAATGCACAATTGGCGATATAAGATAAATGCAAAAAGCAAATGCGCCAATGACAACTCAAACACACTCAAATGATCACGGAGTTCGGACCTTCCATCCTACGTCTCTGCTCCCCACTCCCGGGAAGAAATCCACTATCACAACCGGGTTTTCTACGCTCACCTGAATAACGTTTACACCTCACAATGTCGGTTTTTAACGTTCACAATCACTTCACAATGTCGGTTTTTAACGCTCACCGATCAACGTTCACTCCCCACACTCGGTTTTCTAGTTCACCGAAAACTTCACAACACACTCGGTTTTTTAGCTCACCGAAAACCTTACAACACTCACAATATAATAACAAATATGTTCTCCTCAATAGATGAGAACTCAATGTAGCTCACTCTCAATTGTTACAACTCCCCACAACCTAATTATACAATGTATGTAAATACAATAAGCTCAATGGTTGTGTGTGTAAGCAATGAGAAAATAAAATCAAATCTAAACTCAATACAAATACTAGCTTATGGAAATGTAAATCAAACGTATAAATAACTAGATATGAGTTTAGAGATTCTTCTCTGAATAACAAAATGAAGAGATGGAGATTGAAGCCCAAACAATAAGATGATCTCCTCCACTTGAGAAAACTTCTTCACAAACAAAACAGATACTGAACACACTTAAATCCTTGTTTAAAACTTGTTTAAAACACTCTCATTAGTTAGTTCAGAACTGAGATCAATGTGGGTATTTATAGCCTCCCAAAGCCTCGACTAAAAACCCCAAACAAAAGACCAAAAAGCCCCAAACAACAGCTGCAAGAAAATAATCGTTGGGAATGAAAAGACAGTGCGGTGGTCGACCATGGGAAACTCGCGGTTGACCGCGAGACAAAACCAAAACTGAGAAAATATCTAGAGAAAGCTACGGTCGACTGTGGCGGTCGACCGTGGGAACTTACAGGCTGACGATCGACCGTCACGGTCGACCGTGAAAGTTGCTGCTGCCCACTCAGGAAAAGAACCAGGTGCGGTCGACCGTGGCGGTCGACCGAGAACTGATATATTGAAAATATAGGTTTTGAAAACAATTTTTATGACATTAAAATCCTGTTTAAAAATATCAAATTAATTCTAAAAATTATGAAACTTTGGGAAATGATTGTAGACATGATAATACACATGCTACAAAAACTGGTTTTCTAAAAGGACTTCCCAAATGAGAAATATCATCATTTTGCAAAATAGTCCAAAACATGAAAATGTGAACATATGAATTTTGACATTTTAGCTTAACCATATATATATATATATAACTATATATATGCATAGAAATCAAAACTTATGTATACACTATATGAAAACCAATATAATGTGTGTATATAATATTATATTGAGCTTAAGGTACTAACACACATAATATAAACTTCTAAACTAAATTACCCAAGCTTGATCTTGATCTTCAATAGCTTGACTTAGTAATCTTGCCGATGAAGCTTGAACTTGGATCTTCAACTTGAATTGTACAAAGCTTCACCTAATATTCCGCCAACCTCCATTTGATATGATTGTTATGGCGCAATCCATCCAACCTCCAACTCGTTGTTTGCCTAGAATAAATATAAAAACACAAACACTAGACAAACAATATTAGAAGTAAATTATTTGTTAAACATCATCAAAAGAAGAAGACCAACAATCTTCCCCTTTTTGATGCTGACAAATAATTTACAAAAAGGATATATGCATGAAAGGAAATGAATATACAATGTATAATATATCATACATATAAACAAGAAAGAATATACTCATAATATTTCTCCCCCTTTGACAACATCAAAAAGGGGACAAAGGGATGACGAGAGCGAAAGCTCCCCCAATTAATAAGCATAGGTGAGTATCAAACAAGTGTTTGCGTCGAAAGTTAATGTATTCATTGCGGTATTCATTACAACTTCGGTCGTTACAATGAAAACAAAAAGATAATCTTTTTATAAGATCTTTACACAATGAAAACAAAAGTTACAACTCTCGTCAAAACAAACGCAGAGATCGTTTATCGGTCTTCTGCTTGCGTGGGATCTTTGCCTGTGCCGGGGTTTATCCGTGGACCGCCTTAGATCTGGATCCGGTTGATAGAAAATTCGGCAGAGCTTTGCCTTCGCCGAGGAAGTATTTGATTTGAAGCGCTGAAATCGACCAAGCGAAATCAGGGCTCTTCTCGAGATTAAGACTAAGCCTAATCTCAAGGGACGGACGGGAACGGGCGTCGGATCTCTCGAACTCTCCTTCTTTATGCCGAAGAACTCGCCAAGATCTGTCAACCCCCGCTGAAATTCGTGCTCCTTTGACTCTACAATCCGACAGCACCTCCTTGTCTTGATAATCAATCGCCCCTCAGAAATGAGCACCCGAGCTCGTATTTATAAGCTTCAGAAGCGGTTATTTGGATGAGAACAAGTGATTTGGCTCTATCTTCAGTTAATAACTGATTAACCATGCTAGGGGATGATATCAAGTCAGTTTGGATGCTCAGGAACGACCAAATCCCGAGAAAAACCGTCAAAAACCGAACTGGGATCGAAACAGCGCGCAGGAAAAATCCGACCCGCGGTTACTGTAGCGCGGGTCGGAAAATTCCGACCCGTGGTTACTGTAGCACGGGTCGGAAAATTCCGACCCGCGGTTACTGTAGCGCGGGTCGGAAAATTCCGACCCGCTGTTACTGTAGCGCGGGTCAGTTTGAGATATCTGCGGTATTTTGGTCATAACTCTTTCGTACGACCTCCGATTAGGCTGATTCAAGATGCGTTGGAAAGCTAACGAAGAGATCTACAACTTTTATGTTTTGAGATTTTTCAGATTCAAATCGCAGCATAGTCAAAACTTCACTTCTTTGTGCGGTCAAATTACTGTAGCAGAATTCCGACCCGCTACTGTAGCAGAATTCCGACCCGTGGGTACTGTAACAGTCTTAACTCACTCATCCGACCTCGGAATGAGGCGATTCAAGATGCGTTGGAAAGCCGACGAGGAGATCTACAGGCTCCCATAATTGAATCATATGTGGAATAAATAGGACACGAGGGGTGCTCCGCCTTTCGTAAATGACGTGGGGCTCCCGATCAGCTCTCGTTTCCGTTATTCCAAAGTTCCGTTGCTTCGTATGACCCGTCAACTCACTTCATGTGTTTGTCATTGTCAAACGAGCTCCTGCGACTCTAATAGCGATGTTTATCATCTTCTCTCTGTCTCGAGTCGTGTACGGACACCCATAGGTATTTTTAGACGCCTACAGATACCCCCTCCAAAGTATTTCAGACTCATTCTTTTATAGAGGAGTCTGGAATGCTTTGGATAAGATAGGCCATCTCCTCAATTTCGTAGAGTGACCTTGAACTATCTCAATTCTTAACTTCTTCAGTCTTCAATCTATTCATTGTTTCGTCGAATAGGTGAAGTTCTTTCGGCGCTGCGTTTATCGTCTGACCGCTGTCGAAATCTTGAACTGAGATTGGTGTGTAACTTTCTGAACTTAGCTCGTGTCATTGAGCTGACTTTGAACTGATCCTCTCTGTCGGGAATTCATATCTGATTGTAACTGAAATCCTTGGAATCATCTTTTGCCTTATTTTGGCGAAATTGCTGATGCGTTGACCGGCATCGATCTTTACTGTAACGCGTTGACCGGCGTTAACACAGTTTATACTCGTACGTTTGCTGGAGTCTATACAGTTTAAGCTCTTAAGGCATTGGAGCGTGACGGTCCCGAATGTTGGGCTGCAGGACCAACTATTAAAGCTGATTCATCTGCACGTGTGGATCTTATCCTGAAGTTTGTTGGATGTTCAAGTCATGAGACCAACTAATGAAGCTGATACGTCAATGACTCGCATTTATAGAATTTTTGGCAAATTCTCAGCCATCAACGGGTTTGATAAGCCTTTACCGACTACCGTTTGAGTCGGGCTAGCATGCGGATTGTTTAAGTCCGTTCCGCATGTAACGTTATGCTAAAAGAGTTAACTCTTTTAGTGCTACGATATTGAATACGTAGACTTCGTCTTTCTCCTGTGAAAAGACTAAACAGC